GCTGATTATGCTTAATTATGATGTCTTATCATAATTTTATTATCTTATCTTATCTTTCTTACTGATGGGCTCGAGTGCTCGCGTACCACTTGCGCGCAATCATTGGAACGTGAGGGTTTGCAAGGTCCCCCACGACACCGTGATTATAACTTGAATGCCTCCCTTGAGTCGGAGGACATTATTGTTATTTTCTTTTTCTCCCTTGTGGAGCTGGAGTTACCTCCCTTGTGGAGGCTGGTACGGGACTCAACTGATATTATTCTTATAAGTTCCTCTTGACTTATTAGGGTGTATGCAATATGACATAGCATAGCATACTATAACATGGAATGTACTCAAACACCTATACTTCATGTGCACTGCTTAAGTGTATGCAGTATGATTTAGCATAGTATACATAACATTAAATTAACTCGAACACATATAATTCATGTGCGCTGCTTATATGTATGCATCATGACATAACATCGCATACAATACGTAAAGCATAAACATGCATATATAACATGTGTAACTTTTTCTTTAAAATCTATTCATACTGTAGGCGAGATTCCTACTTACCTGATTTACAGAGCTGGAATCCACTTTTCGCCAAACAGTCTATTCTCTTACTTGCTTATTTCTGAAAATGAACACCCATTGAGAGTGTGAGATTAACTGTCGTTTGCTATTCTATTTTAGCAACTTATGAAGGAATCTAACCCTTTTCTTAAGGCAGGTATTCCTTTCATTTTCTGAAGGATAATTTACTATAAGGATCAATTTATTAGATCCTCAAAATTTTATTTTCCTTAATTGCCCTTAACATACTTATGTCTAGATTGAAAATCATTTACCCAATCTACTAACTTATTCTCCATAGTTTTCCTCATTGGACTTATTATGATATTAAGGCCCAATTCGGCGTAGAAACTTATTAACGGCATTCTAACTCTTAGGCCGCTGAAATTTAAACTCAAACAGAGTCTCTTAAATCAATGCGGGCATTGGACCCACATTAAATCCTCAAAATCCTAAGGATCTATCGTGTTGGGCTCGTAGGTGCCCGTCGGGATGATTTGCTCGATAAACCACTAAGTTCTTTAAAAGAAAGCATTTTTCTTGAAAACTTTCTTTACGAACACTTCCGTTATAATGAGGCAGCTCCAAGAAAAGACCTCATGATAGTAAATATGGGTCCCCACCACCCATCAATGCATGGTGTTCTTCGACTCATCGTTACTCTCGATGGTGAAGATGTTATTGACTGTGAACCAATATTAGGCTATTTACACCGAGGAATGGAAAAAATTGCGGAAAACCGAACAATTATACAATATCTGCCTTATGTAACGCGTTGGGATTATTTAGCTACTATGTTCACAGAAGCAATAACCATAAATGGACCGGAGTTGTTGGGAAATATCCAAGTGCCTAAAAGAGCCAGCTATATCAGAGCAATTATGTTGGAGTTGAGCCGTATAGCTTCTCATCTCGGCCTCTAAAGGCCCCGTTTGGCTGAAAGCCGTAGCTGCTGTTTTTCTTGAAACTGTTTTAGTCAAAAACTGTGCCGTTTCGGGAATCTGTGTTTTAGTACCTCTTAGGGTCGGATTTTGAAAATCTTTTCTTCATCAAATTTCTTCATCTCGTCGAAATATAAAATTGTCACTTTTTTGAAAAATCGAGATTCAGCTTCTAAGGGTCCCGTTTGGCTGAACCAGTGGTTGCCAGTTTTTTTTTTTGAAACTGTGTTGGACAGCTTGTCCGTTTTTGCCAAATGGCTTCAAACTTGGTTTTAGAGTTAAAATTAGGTTTTGTCATAGTAACCGAAAATGTTCAAAACATCCAGGGCTATAAGTTCAAGCTTTAAAACATTAAAAACTCTCGCTCTATGGTCCTCATTTTCGCGGTCAAAGTCACCGGAAAATTTTTCCTCTAATATGAAAATAAGCAACTTAGATTAAGCATAAACATACCACATCAAACTAACCTCAAAACTCACAAAACCAACATAAAACTCACACACTCTTATTACAATCTTATCTCTTCAAGAACCACAAATTTACATCCATAAATCCAAGCTTAAAGTTGGCTAGAAATTAATGGAGGGGAGTTTAAGAACTTACCCTTGAAGAATTCTCTCTTTCTCTTGAAAAACCCTTGAACTCCTCTAGGATTGTTAATGGCTTGAAACTATAAGAGTATAAGGAAATTTGAGAAGAATATTTCTCTATTTCAAACTTTCCCAAAACATGAAAAAGAGAGGATTTAGAGTTTCTTTACCCTTGAAGGAAGACTTGACTAGTCTCCTCCTAGATCTTTTGATCTCTTTCTTCTTCTTCTTCTTCTATGGTTTGATAGTGGCTCAAGATTGAGAGAGTGGGAGAAATTATTTGAGAGGAAATGGTGTGTATGACCGGATTTTTGATGTGGGAAAAATGAGAGGAGAAAAAAAATGAAGCTTATCCTATGATGGTTCCTTTTATAGGCAACTTGAAAATAATTTTTTAACATCACATCAACTCCTTCAATCAACCAAATTTTGGTTCAATTCCCCCCTTTCTTGGCCGGTTATGGAAGGAGAAAAGGAGAAGCAAAATTGTCATTAATTCCCCTTCAACCACTACCATCACATCACACCATAACTTGTAACCTTTTATCACACTCAACTAGCCAAATTTTGGCTCTATTTCTACTATACATGGCCGGCCAAGTGGAGAATGAGAGAGAGAAAAATAAATCCTACCCCTTGTACTTTTGTCCACTCTCTTAAGTTTCTCTTGAAACTGCTAAAAATTATACTGACTGTAGGTAAGTAACTTAGCCGACAAGAAATTCTAGTTCCTGACGATTCCTTTTCAACTGCTTATTTACAATTTAATATTAATTCCTGACTACTTAGGGATCACATTAAATTCTCACTCGCGTAATATCTTAAACTGTTTCAAGTCTTGAAATTAATTATAGACTGAATAAATTCTAAATTTAACTTTTCTGCATTGAATCTCGGGAATGACGTTGTTTCTGACGGTGTCAAATCCCGAGCTCACATTGTGCCTTTCTACTATGGGTATTTATCTTGTGACTTTAACCTAGCTGTCTAGCAATTAAGGATTTTCTCTTCTTTAAAAATGTCAGTGCGTTTTTTTTTTACGCTGCTAACATCATGCTGTGTTTGGAGATTCTTGAAATTAAGATTCTCAAACTATACTTGTACTGAAAATTATTCCGCCTTAAAGTACGGTGAGAATTTATCGATCGAATTTACTTGATCGAAAACATGAACTTAACATGAAATCTGCTACAGAATTTAGGAATACAGATATTGATTCCATAAATTCTTCAGTCACATAATATTTTCTAGGAAAATCCTTGGCTTAAATACATAAATTGTATTATTTAAGGTCTGGGATTTTCTCAGTCATTACAGTTATGGGATTGGCATTCAATCAAATAGCGTTGGGAAGTAATCAAAGCACATGTAACTTGGAGTAGAAAGATACAAGAATGTACATAATTATGATCACACAATTTCTCTAGCAGGTGACGAAATACACAAATTTACCAGCAAGAACTACTGACAATTTTTGCAGTTCACTAACAATTCTGTTCAAATTCTGCTCCAAAGATGAAGCACCAAATTTCAATCCATTTAACGGTTTTAAACGTATCCGACTCGCCATTTGATTGTTCAAAAAACAAATAACACACTAATCCACTAGGTCTGCTTCTGGTTTTCTTCCTATATTTAGAATTTAGGATGATAATAGATGATGAAAAAAAAAAAAAAAAAAAAAAAAAAAAAAAAAAAAAGAGCCGCTACTTAAATAATCAGCAACAATTACTTGATTTTCCTAATGGCCTTTTCAATAAGTGACAGGTCATAAGCATATGGAATCAAGTGCAAATCATTTTTTCTATGAACTGTTATGCCCAATGAGTCAGTCATGACTAGGTCTTTATGTTTCATTCCATCAGGAGTTTCCAATCAAAATGGTAATGAAACATTGAAAGAGGAAGCTCAATATTAATCAGACTGAACAACAAGCCCGGGAATTTTCTCCTTCCAACTCCAAATGGGATACACTCAAAATTTGTTCCTTTGTAGTCAATAGGACTATCAAGAAATTTCTCCCGTATAAAACTCTCAGATTCGGTCCAAATTTAATATCTCTTCTAATTGGCCAAACATTGACCATGACTTTTTTTTTCACAGGTACCTCGTGACCATACTCTTTATTTTAACTAAACATAGATTATTGTCCAATATTAGTTAGAACATTAATATTTTGATAATGTAGATCAATATCTCTTTAACCCAATATATCTCCTATTATATGTTAGCGTTTACGCCCTTAGAGTATCTCCAAGAGAGCTCTCTAAATTTTAGCTAAATTCTAACGCCTAAAATGGCTAAAAAAATTATTTTAGCTAGTAATTTTTTTTGTGAGTCACTTCAACCCTACTCTTTATTTTAACTAAACATAGATTATTCAATAATTATTAAATTTAAAATAAAAATAACTTTATTGAGTTTTAAAAACAACCTTTGCATTTATTAAGGTAGAAAGAATAAAATAATACAAAAAATGAAATGACTAGCCTCTCCGTGCTAGCTATATTTAGCTCGTGTGGAAGACATTCTCTAAAATAACAACTATTTAGCTAATGGTTGGAGTGGATTAGGTTAAAAAAAATTAGAAAGCTAAATCATTAACTAATTTAACTAAAAACATAATATAACTAGTATGGTTGGAGTCGATCTTAATTAGAAATAAATGTAACAATGCTAAAGGTAAAATGTGAAGTTTTGTGTTTCCATTTTCGAAGTCGTGGAAGACTTAAGACGAAAGAAGTGAATTTTCTAGAGACACTTGCCAAGAAGAGTTTAGAAAATAAACGGCAACTTAAATGTCGACAGAACAGTAGCTTTTCTCTGGGAAATTATTTTGGACTTCATACACAACTTTCCTTTTCTCTACGGCAAAATAACCTTTACCATTTGTAAGTACAGAAAATATATAACACATAATCCTCCGAGTATGCTAGTGGTTTTTTCAGTTTCCTAAGAATATATGATAAAAAGGGGTGATGCAAACAAACAACCGCTACTTTAAGAATAAGAAACGAGTTACTTGATTTTCCCAGTGGCCTTTCCAATAAATGACAGATCATAAGCAATAGGAATCAATTGCAAATCATCTTTTCTACGAACTGTTGAGCCGAACGACTCGGTCATGTTTAGGTCTTCATTTTTCATTCCAGTGGGGATCTTCCAATCAAAATGGTAAAGCAGCATTGCAAGGGGAAGCTCGATATTAATCAGAGCGAACAACATGCCCGGACATATTCTCCTCCCAGCCCCGAATGGGATATACTCAAAATTTGTTCCTTTGAAGTCAATTGGGCTATCAAAAAACCTCTCTGGTATAAAACTCTCGGGTTCGGTCCAATATTCAGGATCTCTTCCAATTGCCCAAGCATTAACCATGACTCTTGTTTTCACCGGTATCTCAAAACCCTTAATCTCACACGTCTCTCCACATTCTCTTGGCAGCAACAGCGGCGCTGAGGGATGTAACCTAAGCGTCTCTTTGACAACCGATTTTAAATACGTCATCTCCACAATGGCTGTTTCATCAACAAACCCTTTTCTATAAAAGACTTCTCTCACCTCAGTTTGTGCTTTCTTCATGACTCTTGGATTGTTCATAAGCTCTGCCATTGCCCAATCCAAAGCGGTTGCCGATGTCTCAGAGCCAGCCGAAAAGATGTCCTGAAAGTTATCATCGTAATGTTACCTAATTGAAATTTTGTATACCTCACAGTTACATACAGCTCTTACCCAAAAAAAGAAACCCAACATTTTCTTGGTATAACTTTCTTTTTTGCCTTTGCTAATCATTCCAAATTTTTCAGACTCAAAATATTCTTATATTTGTGTAACACTCAATATTTTGAGGTCCTAGGTTAGACTTCATACATGGTTTAGCTTAGCTGTTTAAATTTCAACACATATTTTTTTCTAGGATACGTTAATATGAGAAATTAGTTGACCAATTAGGGAGTAACAGGTAGCTTTTATATGAGATTATTGCTCCTTGTCTTATTAATAACCCAATCGAGGTTTTAATTAAAAGTTGAGATGTGACTTTTATGTGAGAATTTTTTACTAAAGTAAAAAAGTTAGATGTGAGTGTTTCTGATAACTTCTTACGGTAATAAAATTCGAATTCTAAACTCGAATTCATTAAATGAACAAGGTCTAAGTAGTGTACTATCTTTATTCCAGCCTTACTTTACTTTAACGTGCTTATATATATATTAGTTTACTCAAAGTTGATTTTTAAAAAGGAATTTTTCTAGATTTGTATAGATATATATGTAGCTCATATCATTTTATTGCTTAGCAACAGTAGATGTGATAAAAAAAAAAGAAAAAAAATAGAAAGAAGGTATATTAGCCGCCAAAGACTAGTCCGCAACTTTGAGGACTACAAATACATGAGATTACGTTCATTGTTTTTTTCCTCTACCAACGACACAAGTCTTCCTTCCATTATTCCTAGTCTTACTTATATATCTCCTCTCCAAATCAGAAAGTTAGCCAAAACTCGATTGGGTTATTAATAAGACAAGGAGCAATATTCAATTCATTTTACCGTTATTTGTTTCTACCATTCATGATATTTATTGCAAGTTGATGTATAAGTAGATCTTCCACAGCATCACCTGAGCAATAATATATTTTTAATAAATTTTTTCAATTTATATATTTTATTGTTGACATGTTTTCATGAGATTTTTAAAAGTATTTCTTAGTGTGATGTGAAATTTACTATTTATTGTGAACTGAGATATGAGAATGACCAAATCCTTAAAAAATAAGAGATTTCAAGATATGGCCCACATGACAGATGTTCTAATAACACAAGACTAATATTATACCAGAAGGTCCTAAATGTTAGAGAAAAAGTATATTCAAAGTGGAAATTACTTATGGTTTATTTACTTAGAATAAGCTCATAAAGTTCTTGTGATGCAGGTAAATTAAGTCTGAAATAGAGGTTCTAGTTGATTGAGAAAAGAATAGTTCAAGATTCCATGACAAGTTTGGAGATTCTAAGAATTGAACTTTGTAATTTTAAGAATTTTGTTCGAGAATTGTATCATGATAAAGATTATTTTCCATCATGGATTGTTAGTTTATATAGTTAGGTTAACATTTCTATTCAGCTTAGCGGTTTTGAGCTACTAACTTGGGAGGGGCTTTATAACTTGGGACAATTTGTGATCTTTAGCCTTGAATCGCAAATTTTAGAAGGAAGTTAACTTGAATATAAATATTGCAAGTCTATGGAAACAAAATAGCTCAAATGTGTAGGCATATGCATATTTTTGTTAATTGCTCAACGATAATAAAACTAGGGACAAGTATTATATGACTATATTGCACCATAGATTGATATATACTTACCATGACTATTGCTTTAATATTTTCGGTTGTTATGGAAAACCCAAGATTGTTGTTATGAAACTTTAGAAGAACATCTACCAGATCCTCTGTGACAGTTTCACCTTCACCACTTTTCATTGCTGGCTTCCTCTTGTCATGTTCCTTGATGATGTTCTCAACAATCCTGTCAGCCTTTTCGTGCAGCTTCTCGAGTTTAGCCCTTGTGCCGAAGATAAGAGGATCAAGGAAACTGAAGGAAGGAAACACGTCTGCAAGATCAAAACCTGATGCTAACTTTGTAGTTTCCACTATGATTGATATGAACTCCTCTTGATCTTCGCTTTTCTTACCAAAAGCTGCTCGTGCAGTGATGGTATAAGTTGAGGAGTAGATTCTTTTAGTGAGATTGACAGAGGAGCCAACATTTGAAGCAATCCATTCCATGAGATTAAACATCTCTTCTGCTCTAATGGATCGAAAAGATTGAACTCTCGCCGCACTCAAGAGCTCCTGCGTGCATATTTTTCGCAGTTGTCTCCAATACTCTCCATTCGGGGAAAAGACGATGTCTGTAGAATTATAGAGCACGATCTTGGAAACAAGAATGGAGGGCCTTGATGCAAAGATGGCATCATGAGTTCTCATCACCTCTTTCGCAAACTCCGGCGAGGAAACCACTATAGTTGGAACCTGTCCGATTCGTATGTACATCAAGGGTCCATATTTCCTGGCCAAGTCTCTTAGTGCTCGATGGGGCAAAGAGCTCATGACAAGTTGATGCAAATTCCCGATGATGGGCAGCTTCCATGGTCCGGGAGGTAGTTTCGAAGAAGAGTTTATGGCTTTTGAGGATCTTTTCAATATGTTCCACACCATGAACACAAAGACAAGGAAGCTGAGAAGGATTGGGAAGGAGGGAAATTGGAGATCCATGAAAAAAGTGAAGGGAAAGATTGGATTAAAAGGGCTATAATTGTGTGTTTGTAAAATAATCAATCTCCAGATTTATAGGGTGCAAATTTGCATTTCATTTCATTTTTTATGTTCGCCTGCGAGCATTAATTGAACTTTTTTGGCATAATCCTGTGCAAATTCGATCGTGTCAAACAAGCACTTGTTAATGGTAGCAATGTCGCATATTCAATAGTACTGAACGTAAAGAGTAAAGAATTTCTACGGCCGCCTTAATTGAAAAGAAGGTAAATTAGAAATTGAGGATAAAAGAAGTATCATCTAACTTGTACTCATCATTTCATTTGTCTTCTAATTAAGGATATTTATGCTAGATAAATAAAATGCTGTGTTTAAGAATTTGAGCTGTCTTATAAATTTTAAAATCGTGTTGCTAACAAAGCTAAGATTTTCATTTATATATATATATGTGTATATATATTTTGTTATAGGAGCAAAGCCAAAAAATTAATTGAAAAAGGACGAGCATACATATATTTAATTCACCAAAAGGAACATATAAATTCAAATTTTTAGAGGTAGTAAACTATAAATTTTAACAGAACTAAAAGAAAAAAATTAGATTGTGCGCCCGCCTACCCTCCGCAAATGGAAGGTGTGGCACTGCTCCTATTTTGTTAGCCGTGGTAACCAAGACATAATTAATAAATATTATTTTAAGGAGATAATTAATATATCCATAAAGGAATAATCTACTAATTTTTCAGAAAATAAATATTTATTAATTTAAAAAGAGTTTTTATATTTTAATAATATGTGTCATTTTAGTACATATGTATTATTCTTTTAACTAAATTTCATGTATGAGTTATAAATAAATCAAAAAAAATGGATGTAGTCAAAACTAATATGTTTAAGTATATAATTTCAAAAGAGATAATGTATGCAATAAATGCTACATACATGTACATAAAAGCCTAAAAGTTAATGTAAGTACATTACACATAGAATGGTAATAAATACAAATATAGATATAAAATTGATGTAAATATTTTTAAATTTAATACCTAGAAGAAAAAAAGTCCTTAATGTCATTATTAATTTATATTTTCATTGGGCCCTAAAGGAATTTAGAAAAAATTATTATCTTATTCATTTAGCGAGATTATTAATTTTGTACATTGGCCCAAGTCGAGACCAATAGATTTTATTATTTAATCGAGGTTATTAATTTATCGGACGTTTGTACCCATCCAAAATCTTTGTTATTTAAACTTTCATTTCTCTTTTTTTTTTATCGTAAATTAACTATTTCTGTGGCATGTAATTGTGACGACCCTCCTATGAGGCCGCCACTGTAACTTAAACTTTAACTTGTACTTACTGGGGTTTCTTAAAATTTGCGGAACATTTTTTTTTTTTTTTAATATAAGAAAGAATACTTTCATAATTTGTAACAATAATTTCAAATAAGTGAATCACTAAATTTCTTAAAGCTTTTCTTAATTTCAGTTAAGATAAAACGTTCTAAAAATATCTTTCAAACAGAGCAGCATTTGAACTCTTATTTCAAATGCTCTTTAAAAGTCTTTCTAAAACTAGCCAATTCAATCGGGCCATTTAATTTTGACTTTAAAACGGATTTCGTGAGAAATCTTAAATTCAAGTACATCTTAAAGCCCTTTTAAAATCAATCATTTAAATCGTCATGTTTAAAATTTATTTATTTGTTGCATGCTCTGTTGCAACGTTCTAAAACTTAAATACTCAAAACGAGGGTTGTTAGCTACAACCTCGGTTTCTTTAACATACATATGTACCTATACTTTTTAAACATACATGCTTGAAACCTTTAAATCATATATACATATACATGATTTTTCTTAAACTTACTGCGGAAGATAACTGCGTGAGCGGTATCCATTCCCATCTCCACCATTCATCCGCCGCTTGCCATTGCCCTTCAAGAATTGCTGATAGGTTTCTTACCTACA